TGCTATGTTTCTTTCTTCATTAATTCTTTTCTTTCATCTTACCATAATACCAATTTCATGGTTTTAACTTTTATCTAATGAATGATACACAATTGCTATGTAAATGTTTAGATTATTATTGAGTTCGTATACGTTCGATTGTCGAATATATATGTTCCCGTTTTCATTCGTAGACCGTAGTATTCCAACTTGAGGGAGAATTTGTACTCTTGGTCCAATCGAGGTTCTTCACCACAACTGATAACTTGAGTAGCGAACTTTGGAGTTGTGTTTACTCTTCCAAATCAAGCATTGTTGGGCATTCAAGAAGATAATCGGAAATGAACGAAAATGGTCATTCGGAACGTTGTAAACAAATTAACAAATTTAAAGGATATTTCTATATATATTTCGTAACTAATTAAAATTACACCAAACAATACTTTTAGATCTTTACCAGACAATACTTTTAGACCTTTAGCAGTCACACGCTGCTCATTCCATTTATATTTTGCGACATACCCGCCGCAACGCGCGGGGCATTATTCTAGTAATACACTAATTGAAGAGTAAAATTATCACTAACCATATAAAAATTCGAATACATATCATCTATCACCAAAAAGTTCTGGCAAAGTATTCAAATTATCTAAAAAAACAAACAAGTTTTTATTTATTAATTAAAGTTAGTAATCGAGGTGACAATTGATAGTGTACCACATAAAGCTGACAAGGGGGTGGGAAATGAAGAAAAGAAGTATAAATAAAATTAGTGATTGTTGTTGGATAATCTTAGTTTATGTTTAAGTATTTATTTTCCTTTTTTTTTGTGGTTAAAATTATGGATAAGTTAAACGGGGTGGTTCATCTTATTTCATGTCAACCTGTTAAAAATTGTTGGGTTTATTTTAACTGTCCAATAAAATAACAAAACCACTATTGTAACTGATTTATTGATCCTACTGATCGAGTCGTTGATCGGCTTCATATCTTATAAGCATGAAAACATTACTAGACACTTAATAGTGGACAAAATTTGATGAAATATAATATTAGATTGAGCCCTTTTTTTGAGTTGGAAATGAGAGTTCAAGTAATAAAGAAAAGCTTTCCGCGAGCTAAATATCGTGTCATTATTTTACCATTCAATATTATAAGTCTTATTGGTTTTGTTGTGATCTTTATGAAAGTTATATTATTGATGTCTTATAAATCAAAGATTAAAACTTAAACAGTTAAGAAATCCAAGATATATATACTCATGTCTAAAATCTATGTTGAATATTGTTCCTTATTTTCGCAGCAGAGCGCGGGCTAATTATCTAGTACAATTTATAGGGCTAAAACATGCCAGCTTAATCTAACAGAACACAAGTTACATGTTGTTATTAGTGCAGATTTAATCATGGAAGTTTTCCATTTGGGATGCACAGATTTGATGAAAACTGCAGCACCAGCCACATCAGGGCAAGCCATGGAAGTTCCTGATCTCAAAACATACCAGGACAACTTCTATCCTTAGGAGGAAGGGCAACTAAAATGGAAACCCCAGGGGCCATTACACCAGGCTACAGCCACAATTGCACATTATCAAAATGGTGTTCAACAGTTAATCAGTCCTTCTATTAAGTTCTAGATTGAAATGGGAAGTTGACAGAGAATGCAAACATGAGAGCTAGCTAAGCTAGTGACCTTCAGAATGTTTTCGATTAGGGGTACAGGTCCTCTAGATGAGACATACGCCAGATATGGAGCCCGTCTATATCCTAGTACATCAACTACTGCCAAGATGGTCGCTTTAGGGTTCTTGTGACAAGATGATATAGTCAATGTTAATAAAGTAGTAAATTTTATCTATGTAAAGAATGCACTAGTTTTTATACAGGTGGAAAGAAACTTGTGGCCTAGATTTTGTGGTTTGTGGGAAGGATTTTGTGGGATGGGTTTTGTGGAGAGGATTATGTAGTTTGTAGGGAGGATTTTGTGGTTTGTGGGGTGGATTTTGTGGAGAGGATTATGTGGTTTGTGAGGAGGATTTTGTGGAAAAGATTATGTGGTTTGTGGAGAGCATTTTGTGAGGTGGATTTTCTCTTCCCCATTTAATTGCACACATGACTCCCCTTTCCCCTCCTCTCCCTTTCCCCAATTTTTATTAATGACCAGTGTGCCCCTCCTTCCTCTTCTTTTTATTAATTGTGGTCAACTCATTTAAATGAAAAAATCATCCAAATGAAATGTTCTTATTGATTGGAGCTAATGTTAGCACTATGCTAATAAAAAAAAGTATCAGCACACTAGTCTGAAGTCTCCTCCTATTGGCAAATGACTTATTTTTTCATGGAGTCTCATTAATTTCATACATTAATCAATCAATTTTTCACACACTTATGTTTACACATAGTTATATATGTTAGTATATGTGAATAACTGTTAGCATTGCAAATGTAGCTTTATGAGTAAATAGTGAGATTTTTCACATTGGACGAGAGACTTTTTCCTATTACTATACATTTTCAGATTGATTGTTGAACCAATATTATTTTGATTACACCAATTTTTAAATAATAAAAAAGATAAATGAATTTTCAAATTAATTGCGTTCTCCTTCCTTCTTCCTCCTCCTTGTGCCCTCTTCTTTCTCGGCAGACCAGCGAACTTCGAGTGCGGATCTGGTGACTAGGGGGGGGGGGGGTGGTGGTTCCTTAGTCACTTGACTAAGCCCCCCTCAGCCTTTGGATTGATCTAATGGTCCAGATAAATTAATGAATTATTATTAAATGGGAAGGGTAGTTATGGTATTATCAGAAATTCATTAACTCCTATTTTTGGTTTTGTTTTATTTATTATTATTGATTTCTGATTTTCCTCTGCAATCGTCTCCTCCTCTTCCCTTTTTGCGATGTCCAGAGAGAGAGAGAGAGAAAGAGACATGGCGGAGGAGAACCCAGCGCCGGTGGAGGATAGAGATCGCAGCGCCGGTGGAGGAGAGAGAGAAAGAGACGCGCAGCGCCTTCGGTGGAGAGAGAGATGGCGACGACGATGGTGGAGGAGAGAGAAACACCGCCAGAGGCAGATTTGTCGGAGAACGGCAGCGACGGCAACGATGCAAGAGAGGGGGGCGACAGCGGCGGAGAAAGGAAGGAGACCTCGACGGCACCGACAGCGATGGAGAAAGGGAAAGGGAAAGGCGATCTCGACGGAGGCGGCAGCGTTGGAGAGAGAGAGAAAGCAGATCTGGTCGTCGGAAAAACAGAGGAGAGAGAGGTGATAGTGGAGTAGAGAGAGAGGCAGTGGCGGAGAGAGAGAGAGTCGACGACGATGGAGGAGAGAGAAGAGGCGCAGTGATAAAGAGAGAGAGAGGGGGGTAGTTACGGCTGTAAAGTGCATCGGCGGCGGCATCGGTGGAGAGAGAGTTGGCTCTCGACATCATATTTTGTTGTCTGAAGGAAGAACAATGGTTTGTAATGCAAATGTTGTCAGTTTGTATCATTAGTACTTTTGTACATAATATTAGTATGATTTGTATAGTTTGTATGTTTTGTATTATTAATTTGTACATAAAAAACATTACAAACATGGTTAACAAAAATAACAAATATGTTGGACAAAAATAACAAAGCTTACAAACATTACAAAATAACTCAACAAACATTACAAAATAACAAAGCTTACAAACATTACAAAACAACTCGACTAACATTACAAAACATACTAACAGTACAAAATGTCACTACTTTTGATACAAATCAGTAAACTTGTATTACAAATCAATGAATAAGAAGTGTGCAAATCATAACATAAAGTATACAAAATGTCACTACTTATGATACAAATTAGCAAACTTGTATTACAAATCAATGAATAGAAAGTGTACAAATCATAACATAAAGTATATAAACTAGACAAACAAACATTACAAATTACAATATATACAAAATAGTCATATAAACATTACAAACTAGAATCATAAAAGATATAAACATAATCGATTACAAACTAGGCCGACAAAAATTACGAAATCGTCGTTGCATCTCTCTCCTCCACGGTCGCCGTCGCTCTCGTCTTCTCTTGCCGTCGTTGTTCCTCGTCGCCGTCGTCGTTGTTCCTCGTCGCCACCGTCGTCTCTCTCTCTCTTCTCCTCTATAGCCGCCGCTCTCTCTCCTCTACGGTCGCCATCACCTCTCTCTCTTCTCCTCTACCTCCGCCTCTCTCTCTCTCCCCGAACACAGAACACCGTCGACCGTCGTCTCTCACTGCCGTCGTCCCTGACCGCCTTCGTCTCTGGCCGCCATCGTCCCTCGCCGTCGTTGTCTCTATGGATCCATCTCCGCGTGCGACAAACAGGTGAGGGAAGGACTCCATTTCTTTTTTTATTTTAATTACAAAATTAAAATGTATAATTACTTTGTTGTCCTTTCTTAAAATGAATTAATTGTAGCCTTAGGATTTTAATGAGCATGAAAGACTGAGATTGACTTAGCCAAGTGACTAAGGGTACCCCCCTTAGTCACCTTATCTTAACCCGCGAACTTCTTCCTCTTGCTTCTTCTTGCTCCTAAATCAGCAACAGCAGCGGGTCGGCGAAGTGGGGAAATGACCACGACGGCCAGAGTCGGGCTGGTAGGATTCTTTCTCCTTTATCAGCAACGACAATGGGTCGGCGTGCTTGGAAAACGATGGCGGATTTGGGGAATCGGAGTCACGACGTGTTGGGGAAACGACAGCGCCTGCCGGGATCTGGCTGGTGGACGGGACGACAAGGAGCAGAGGGTCAGATGGGTTGAAATTGTGTTTGTTTAGGGATTAGGATTTGAATTTGGGGATAGGGGTGTCAACATCATTTTCACATGATTTAGAGCGAAAATATTTAAATTTTAAGGCGATAAATAGCGATTCAGAAAATTTCAGGCCTATCAATGGTTGTTTGCCTTGATGGTGCCAAAGCTAGGTGCAGCGTAAATCTCAACCCATAGGTGCCGGGCTTTAGTTTTGGGACTCATTGTTTATCACTTCTCTTCTCAAGTTCCATAAAACTCTTATTTACCCTTCATATATAGCAAACGTCAGAAAAAAGAAACATGTAGTTCCATGATAAACAAGACGCTTAAAATAGCGAGGAAGGTGAATTTCAGTAAGGGAAGAAATTCGCAACGAAACTTGATCTAATACAGTAGAAAAATTATTAATTTTCTCGTATCATTAGCATGTACGCGTTGCCATGAGGATAAAGCATTTGCAGAACACTTGCAATAGAGTGAACCTCATAAACGAAAGAAATAACATGAACCAACATCCATTCTGACAGTAACAAACCACTGATCAGAGCCAGTTCCCGGGATACAACTTTGCCTCAAAAGACGTCAGCAACATATGAACGTAGCTAAGATCTTTGTATGCATGATGTGGGAAAGCCTGATGATGTTCTGTGTTCATAAGGGCACAGTCTCTTTTGGAGAATCATGTATATACTATATACATCAGGAAGTGGGGGCGAGTTATTATTCTGACATCATTGGTCTTGTTCTAAACAACAAGCTGCAGGAGGTTTTGATCCAACTTCATGAGGCTTGGTGCTAGCCTCCAAGTTGACTATTGAGAAATTCCAGTACTGAAAGCCGCTGCAGAATAGAAACAAGGGTAACCATCTTCTGTATCAGGACCCATAAACAAAAACAAATTCAACCATAAACTGCATTGAAAATCTTACCCGTTGCTCAAGACCAACTTCTTCGGGTTTTAATGTCAAAGACTTCAGCAATTTTATGGCCTCTTGAAACCCACCAGCAGCATCATCTTCATTGCCTATGCTTCTGTCAACATCAGCAACCTTTGCGAGGGAAACAGCAACGTCTAGGGTCTGCCATTATCAATACGAAGCAAGTAAGAAAAATCACTCAGGTTTTCAGCACTAAGCTAGGACTCCACAAGAACTTGCATGCTGAATCAACCCTTTTGTGTTAAAACATAACTCATGCACATTCAGTAGACATTAAGTCTGATGTCGACTGACTGAAAAAGAGGTACTTACTGCAGTCATTCCAGCTGCAGTATACTCACTGTGTTGAAGATAATGGTATTCGGCTACTAATACAATTCTATACATGGAACGGCAAGTTACACAGGCGACTTCTACTTCAAATTGCCACCAGCAAAATATAAAATTCCCCTACTATCCATAACACTGTTGGGACTCTTTAATATATAAGAATAATAACGAAGAATATAACACAACACATATCAACTTTCTTTAGAAGACAGCAATACGTATGATACCAAAGTATAAGCTTCCATTTAAATGAATAGACATGTAGTTTGGTCATCGTTTCAGAATGTTTCCTATTGATAGCAAGTCGTCACCATAGTCCATAACAGGAATCCGTATATGTGATTTGAGTACATACAAATGCATAGAACATAATCCGCATTACAAATGGGGATAACATGGTAAGATAGTCATCCAACAGCACAAGTAATTAGAAAACAATCCATCAACAGGTGCATATTCCTTGAAAAGAGTTTATCACACCAAGAATGCAAAGTACTCAAGCGCAACCTTCAATAATAACCAATCATACATATTGAGCACAGACTGGTTACCTGGGATGGGACATTAGGATGATGTTGCATGGCATCACGACGCACATTAAGTGATCGCGAGTAGAACGACCTTGCAGCTTCCATGTCTCCAGCATAATACTTCAGATCTCCAATTTTGTTAAGAGAGACAGAAAGTGTGTGTGTGATCTGTACAGAAAATGGATTAAATAAGAAAATTGATAATGATGCTCATTCAAAATAAATCACAAAAGATAGACCATCGCGTACCTCCAGATTATCTGTGGGTAATTTTGTAAGGAACTCAACACTCTCTTCAAAATAATTAATGGCAGAACTAGCATCTCCTGTTGCCCGACTGCATAGAGATAAGGTTATGTTACTAAATACAATTATGAACTACAAGACTCTGGTTCCCAGGCGCAAACTGAAGGGTTTCTAGTTTTCCTTTGATCAGAGTCATTTTCCCTAATCCGTTATCTAGTTTGCAGCTATATTGCTAATAGTTTTGGTTTTTTCTGAAAAATCATGTGACATGAACCGTCATCTCTTAATATGGGGAAGACTAAGACAAACCAGCAGTCACCAAGTGTTCCGAGGACTGCTCCAAGTTGTGAGCACAACTCGGATGTATTGCCCATTATTTCTATCTGTCCCCGGATGTCATCAACACAAAGACGGAGTCTTGATTTGGCACTTTCCACATTTTGAGCACGGAATGCCTACGAATGAAGATATCAAACAATTATTGAAACCATCATGTCACAATACTAAATTGCAGGAAACTGTGATTTTAATGAGCATTGTTGAGAATACAAAGTCCAGAAAAGAGGACTAAAATTACGTACGGAACATTTTTCATGACATGGAGACCTCCATAACTTGATACTCATATTGACTCTTCCAAATGACTCACATATTCAATGAGAGATATTCAGCCAAGTAAAAACAGGTACTTCAAATGTCACGTCAAAAGATAAACAACATAGCATGTTAGGAAGCCAGGCTCACCCTCATGGCTTGTTGGACCAAGAAAGCACCTCTTTCCAAAGACACATCCTCATACACAATCTTTGTATCTCCACCTGCATCTTTATCTGCATCAGTATTAGACCTCTTGATTCTAGCATGACCTTCAATGAAGCGATCAACTACACTTTGAAGATCGGTATCAGCTTCGGTCTTCTCGATGTCAGCTCCACACAAAGGACAGTCCTTGAAGCGCGAGATGCAGACTCTGCATCAGTAATAACAGACAGTTGAGTATCTCCAACTACTTGCAATATAAATTATGACATTTAATGCAACAGTTCAGCTTTCTCAACTTACTTGCAGTATACATGAGAACAAGGAATGCACTTTGAACAGTCAAAGAGAAGTGCTTGGCAGATCATACAACTGAGAGGACCCAATTTGAAGGTCCCGGAATCATATCCAAAGGGACATTTAGGAGAGACGCTGGCAGAATCACTCGACTCTTTCTTTGCCTTCCCCTCATTCTCAGACCCATGTTTGTTCGGACTTTCCCCAAGCTTTTTGGATGATGCATCGTCAGGCCGAGCAGCTTTCACAAACGGGCATACAGGAGTCATTTTGAAAACCGGATATTCTGCACCAAAACAAACATTTGGGAGGTCTGTTTCTTGAAAATTTAACAAAACCCAGCACTAAGAGCAAGCAACCATCTACTGCAATTCTAAAGGTGACGTCTTTACCCAAAATATATCCTAAAAGGAACCGGCTACCTCCTATTTCTTAAAACTTACCCATATCAACGAAACTACTTAGGGGCAAATGAGGGCTTGCAGCTGTACATGAAACTCAAGGTCAGATTTGGAATGTCCCTGAGTGGAAGCTTATGCAAGAACTAAAGGGGGCATCTCCATAGTAAAAAGAAGAAAAAAAAACTAGCCTGTTCCTGAATACCCAATTCAAAAATACAATCACAACCCAGAACTAATTCGTAAACCAAATGCCGTGCGGAACAGAAGACTGTATCACTGGGGCTGAAAAGAAGCAATGGAATTCGAAACACAATCCACGCAGTGGCCAATTCAGGGAAAACGTGATATAGGAAGAGAGAGGGATTCACCTGAGTGGGCAAGCGGGAGAGGGAGAAGTCCGAACCCTAGTTAGGCTTTGTTCAGTTTGAAGCTCGCTTTTGTAATCGATTTCATACAGATGCTTCTGATTCTTCGCCGGTAAAATCTGTATACGCGCTTCCCTTCCTTCACCGCTCCTGGAGGAGAAAAGCCGGATTGCCTTGGGAACAGGAATGGTGGATGTCGTCGGCCTCTAATTTTCCATTTTGTGTTGCGTTGCAATCTATCTGGTGACTGGTGTGAAGAGGGAAAACTTTCTTTCAATACCTGACTTTTCTTTATTCCGAGTCTCAATCCCTGACTTAACTTCATACTTCATAACACTACCCACTTTTTCTTTATTTACCATCTCGCCCTTTATATTAATAATAATATATATAAAGCTAATACACCAGAAATACCAACCTTTAAGGAAAGTTTCATTTATATTACATAACTTGAATAAATATAATAAGGGTGTGTTTGGATAGAAGGATATGAATTTAGTATTTGTGATTTGGATATCTAAATGTCAAATTATTTGTTTGGATATTAATTACATTTAGTATTTGGATTTGTGTCAAATTCATAGGGTGATTTCCAAATACATGTTTAGTTTATTACTTGTCAACTTCAAATACATTTCAACAACTAGTGATTTGAAATTCCTCCTTACAAAAGATTGGACCTATATGTAACATTTTAAAAGTTTAAGTACTATAGTGTGACAAAAAATATATAAAGGTATCGAAATGTAATTTTATCAACAAAAATTATGCATCGCTTTGTAAAAATTTAAAAGTTTAGGTACTAAATTGTAAGAAAAAATAATTTTGGATACCAAAATTTGTAGTAAGTTACCAAAAAATTCAGAATTAAAATAAAAAAAATCTAAAATACAAACAAATTACATTTGAGTATCAAAACAACGAACTTGAATTACATTTATTTCAAATGCTAGTATTTGAAATACATGAATTTAAATACATGTATTGCAATACCTTAAATTTAAAATATACTTATCAAAAAGCAACATAATATTCTATGCAATTAGGTAGGGCTGGGAAAAAAGACCAGACCGTATGAAAAACCATGGTCCAAATCGTACCACACAGTTTGGTCCAGACCATAAACCGTTAAGTTTGGTTTAGTCTGGTCCATGGTCTGCATTATATGGTGTTTTGATCTATTGGTTTGGTCTAGACCGCGGTTTACCGAACCAAACCATGGACCCAGCTGACTTCTCATTACGTGTTAGCAGTCCACTCAACCACTTTCCCAACTCCACAACATTACCTAAGTCACAATCTTAATTTTGATAATCTCGTCCCCTCCTTCATTCACAACCACATTTCAATGGAGAGTAAAGACGATTGTGTCTCCATATGACATTATATTAATGGTGATGACGTTATAGTGAAAGTCGGGATGCTTTGACTTTGTATCTTTGTTATTTACTGAGTTTATGGTGTCAAAATTATCCATGCATGTTGGAATTTATGTTTTAATGCAAAAAAAAATATTTTTTTCTTGGCTATTGATTCAATTTTTTGTGTGGTTGACTAATCAAATTGTTCATTTTTCATTCGGTGTGGTTTATCCAGACCAAACCGTACCGGACCAGACCGTATAGTCTGTGGTCTGGTCTGTGGCCTATACTCTAGCCTCTCGGTCTGGACTATAGACCGTACATATGGTCCGGTCTGGATAAGACTGCACTGTTTCCCAATCCTATAATTCGGGGTCTGCGTCATTTGTGTTACGCGATTTCTATTAACCATTAGAATTAACAGACGCCTAACAGTGGTCAACCTTTGTATGACCATTGATGAAGTGACGCGACATCCAAGTAAGTGACACTTAAGAAATTATTATAATAAAAATTTAATTTTTAGGCTTTCTAATTTTATTTCCAGCCTAGTTGGCTTGCTCTATTTCCCAGCTTGGTCTATCATGAAACAGAGCAGCAGCGCTGACGCGATAAACGCGACCACCGCCACGGATTGGCTGATAGGGATGCAGACGACGGCATGGATGCGTGCAACAGCAAAGGAGATTCGAAGAAGGGAGATTGTGCCCTCCTTCTATCCTATTCTTCTCCGTTCATCAACTTGCATGTTGACCTCACCATTGGATACCCATTTCACCACCCTCCTCCGTCTCGCTTCTCCCACAAGAGCCTCCAAAATCTTCTTCTGTTCTTTGCTTTCTTCTATCTTCGGAAAAATAGCAATAATCAAGCAATCAAAATAATCAAATTATCCAAAATCAATGGTTTTAAACATATCCCCTATCTCAACTCTCCCCGTCGATTCCCTACAGGAAATCAGCGGAAAGAAAAGAATCCATCGCGGCCTAGGAAGCTCCTCCATCAGGAAGACTCAGTTCCATGACGGACACATCAACGAGACCCAGGTGAAATCAGAATCGATCGAGTATTGTGAGGCATCGATGAAATCAGAATCGCGGATGCGATTGAGGGTTGCTTTGAAGGAATCAGAATCGCGGGTGGGGGAGTGGCGGACGGGAAGAATGGGGAGTCGAGATTGATGGTGGTTAGGGTTGGGGTTCCAGCGTTGGAGAAAGCGAGCTTGGATGGGGACGAAGGTGGAGGGAGAGAAGAAGGGGAGGGTGCGGGATGGAATGTATCGAGCGGGAAGAAGGGCTGGCGGAGAAAGCGAATGATAGGGAAACCGTGGAGCGACGGTAGGATTGGGATTTTTGAGGTGAATGGATCAGGTCAGTAACCATGATTAACCCACCCACATCAGCATGACATCAGTATCTCTCTCCTAAAAAGTCTTTTATATGTTCCCCTTAATCTTTAACGGACGATTTCTCTCTAGTTTCAAGTCGAAATTTATTTTTTTGCACAGATAAATCAGATTAAATGTGCTCTTTAAAATGATATCCACTTTGATATATTTTTAGTACAAAAAAATTGAATAATTTTTTACTAGTCATTACCATATGGTATGCTTCTATTTAATACCATGTGGAATGTATCGAGCGGGAAGAAGGGCTGGCGGAGAAAGCGACTAATAGGTAAATAGTGGAGCGACGGTAGGATTGGGGTTTTTGAGGTGAATGGATCAGGTCAGTAACCATGATTAACCCGTCCACATCAACATGACATCAGTATCCCTCTCTCTCCTGAAAAGTCTTTTATATGTTCCCCTTTAATCTTTAACGGACGATTTCTCTCTAGTTTTAAGTCGAAATTTAATTTTTTGCACAGGTAAATCAAATTAAATGTGATCTTTAAAATGATATCCACTTTGATATATTTTTAGTATAAAAAAATTGAATAATTTTTACCAGTCATTACCATATGGTAAGAAAGCATATCATGATGGTATGAACATAATAATATGGTAAGAAGGTTGAATACATGATAGTAGGAGTATTCTAACTGTCATTTATGACTTTCATCATTGTTTACTACAAGTTACCACCCACATACCATAGTGGTAAGTATGGTAATTTTTTGTCCAGTATTTTTTTCACCCAGAAATTCGTAGATCCAATAGATTATGATGAACTCGTTCAATATGAGCAAACGTTTAAAAAACGACTTTAAACGAAGAAGTTACCATATGGTATGTAGTTGGTAAAAAAAAAATTCTCAAAATATATTGAAAATGGATCTCATTTTGTAGAGCACAACGAACTCTTTCCATCAGTGCAAAAAAAAATTGAAATCCGAGTTAGAACGAACAAGATAAGAGTCGATTAAGAAAACTAGGGAAAATAAAATGTCTTTACTTGAAAACCCTTAGATCTGGATTTTCTGGACCCACTTAGATCTAAAGGTCCAGATTTAGTTACTAATAGGTCAGTAACCAATGGTTACTGACCCTATCCTAAGCCATTTTTGAGGGAGACGGAAGAAGAGGTTGTCCGAGACTCGGAGGCGATAGATTGGAGAGAGATAGTGAGATGAAGAAAACATTTTTATTTTTCCTGTTTTGACTTGTTTTTCACATTTATTTTTATTAAAATTTTACAGGTCATCGCTGACTGTATTTTCTGTTAACCACTAAACAAAATTTAACGATTGGTATACAATTATCATATAAAAAATTACGTAATATAAATGACACTTTTGCTAAAGGTTGGTATTTCTTATGGTATTAAGTTGTATGCCTATGTTCACACTTGGTTGTACTATAACATATACATCCTTGTAGTTGCACTATAACATATAACTTGTTTATGTGGGTCTAGTTCATTGGTTAGAAATTCACTCAAATCTATAATTAGTGGGATCATTCATGAATCATGACTCATACTACATGCGTCTTTATGTGCCACTGTGGGTTTGGGCCAACAAATACTTCTTAACCAACCGTGAAAGAATGAAAGTTCACAACCAGAGGGCATGAAGTTTATAGGATAGAGAAAAGTAACCAGATAGAGAAGGGAAAAAGAGAGATTTAACCCATGTTCGAGAGCCAAACCCCCGAGACTAAAAGGGGATAACAAGTTAAAGTTTATAGATTGGGGATTTACAATTTTACATGGAGAGAAAATACGAATGAATAATAGAGAGAAAATGTCCACAGTTATCTGGGTATATTTCATCGGGGTTAATTGCATGGTTGGTCACTGAGATTACAAAAAACGTTCACGTTTGATCACTGGAAATATTTAAATCCAATCTTGGTCACTCAAATTATTTAAATGGTTCAAGTTTGGTCACTCTCCGTCCATTTCCGTTAACTCTAGCTTACGTGGCAGTCAACTTTCATAGTTGACCGTTAAATATGTGACGTGGCAATTAAAAAATTATTAAAAATAAAAAAAATAATCTTTTACATTTTCCACCTCATTATTACATTAATTAAAAAAACCTGAAATAAATAAAACATATAAAGAATTATAATTAAAGTAATCCTTTCCTCAACCCACCTGCGAAGAAAATCCCAAGCCATTCTTCCATAAAAAACCCTTTTGCCCTCCAGATCTCAGCTCAGCAAAGCATCGCCAGAGTCGCCGCCGCAGAAGCAAACGAAGATGAAGTACCCAAAGCCACCGTCTCCAAAACCGTCGCCGCCCTCATCAAATCCCCCGAATTCGTTTCCATTAGCGCTCCCAGCGTTCTGATAAGATGATGGTGATTCCTTCTCCATCTCAGCTCTAAGATCGTCGATGGTCAGAATCGGATCCCTCGATGCGAGTGCGTTTCTCAAGCACTTCAAGGGAAAGCGTGGGACTCTGATCGGAAAAT